GAATTACAAGGTTTGTGGTAGGTTACCCTATGTATGTGTGAGTGTTGCGAAATTCGGTATCACCCGAAGAAACACCTAAAGGACTGAAGTCAAGAATAAGTTTGGTGGGGCGCAGAGCAGGATGTACGAGCACACATGATTCAGCGAAACCCGTTTACAACACAGATTAAGAATTGTGTAGCCCTTAAACTTCGCTACCTTGGATTGCTCCTGTTAAACTGTGGTGCCTAGGTGACGCTGAATTATGGTACTCTAACCATAAAGTTGCCGAATAGTGAGGAGATACCCTTAGCGCATTCAGATTAGATATTCGCGGTATGAAACGTGAGCCTTTACATACTCCACTCACAGTAATGGATTTTCTGCATACCTCTGCCAGGTTTGCCGCTGTTTTTTCATTGGTCCAGTCGCTATGAACAACATTATCCTCGTGTCTAAGATGCTGTATTTCACTCGATGTTGAACTGTGTTTCATGAAATCGAATGAATCCTGCGATAACTATGTTGTCGTCATGACGAGCTCTTTCTGAACACAGAAGGGGGCACCAAGAAAGATTGCACACTCACCTCACAACCACTCACGGCAAGTCAGTGTGGCAGATTTCGCATGAATAAACACACTGACGTTCTTTGCTACCGAAGTTGTTTTCGTGATCTTCCCTATCCTTATCATTTCGAGGAATGAAACACGTATTAGCAACTAGCCTGATCATCTCAACTGGGATCAGTTCTAAGTCGGACAGTTCGCATAGCGAAGCAGCTCACTTGAACTATATGTTATTTTCAAAATGTCAGCAAATCTCCACTAATTAAAATTCTACTATCCCTACTATATATAAAACGCTAACAATAAGTGTACCTGCTTGTGTGTCTGTCACGAAATTCATAGCACGCTTCACTGAAGAAATTGATTCATTTAGCATTAAAGCGTCCCACTTAGGAGTATTGTGTGGGGAGGGACGGGCACAATGTTGGCTGGTGATTGGAAATGACAAAAGGTGATACAAAGCATTAGGAATATCACGAATCGACATCGCTCAATTGTTAATCTAACCTTCCGCTAGTGGCAAAAATTTGATTTAATTGATTTTTGATTTAAAAAGGAGTACTTGTAGCATTTCTTGAACAAGTATGACTAAATAAGGAAACACATCATTTAGTTGCTTAGGAATATAAAAAGGATAAAGCATTTGCCGTTGATCAATCCCTTTTTGGGATGCGGCACGCATTCTACTTCCATTTGTACATTCGTAGTGGCGTTTGAATGCGATGTGGCCTATACAATGACTTGCGGGGCCAGCCGATGTACAAGTCAGTGTTTTTATCCTCCCAGACAAGTCTGGTAATCAAACAAC